CTCTAAAAACTCTAACGAAAGTTTTCGACTAAAGTGATTTCATTTGGAAACTTTTGGTAACTGTTAAAAGATGGTCGCTTAGGCGAATTAGGAGGGTAGACTCTTACGCCGGAGATGTGCTAAGACAGGAAGGTTGGACAGTATCTAACTGGTTAAAGTCACTTCATTTCATTTCATTTCTCGTTAAAAGCATCCCTAGACGTTTTAAATGTTACATTGAGTACCAACCCATAACTGTCCGTTGGCAATGTGATAATCTCAGATGACAGCTAGTTGTTTCTAATTTTCGCTTAAGAAGGTTGCTCACGATCAAGTATACAATATGACCTTTTCAAAAAGAACAAGTTAGTGTTTATAAATGGTAATATATAGATTGAGCTAAGGCCAAAAGCGAAGCTCTGGAGCGATCTTTTAAACCGTCTTTCTCAAGTAATTCAACTAAATTTGGCGCTAAAAAATGGAACTGGGCCCGCGATCAATTGAAAACCTATAACTGGTGAGATGATAACTTACGTCACCTCGATAAGTTGTGTACCTGAGCTTGCGATACAGTCAAGTGGTACTGGTCAGCGGATACCATTTCTTGACAGCTGTCAAAGGACCATAGCATAGATGTCCAATACCAAGTTAAACACCTATACTGTATATGCATGCCTAGGACTCCCAGCTAATAAGTGTGACATTTCATATCCTCTAAGATGAATGAGTGGACTTACGGACGTACGTACTGGCGATTTTCTCTGAACCAAAATTTCTGGAATGCATAGATAACCAAATTTTCTTTCCCATGGTGCTTCGCGCTTGAAGGAGCTCCGCTTTAAGAAATCACACGTTTGATTTTCTCTCGCCAGTTGTGAACATGCAATTGGCCGTAAAGAGACCCCACCCCCACCCCCATCCCCTTCCCCTTTTCTTATTTTTTCCAGACTGACATGACTTTGTAATGAAATATATTAATAGCACGTACCCATAACTAATGGAAATATAGATAGTGTCCATGGAAAATTCAGTGGGAAGATCTTTTAGAAAGAACGCCTCGAGCTATTGAAAATGTTGTTAACGAGCCAAACACTGTCGAGCCTTCCTCACGACTCTCGTAAGCCTCTAGTCTCGTAAATCGCGTATACGACCGCCTTTTCAAAATACCAAACATAAATCAAAACAGAGTGAGATCTGGGTACGAGATTAACCAAACATTTTCCACTGATGATATCACAAAAATCGTTTTGTTTTGTCCTATCGTGAGCGACCTTCTTGCGCGAAAATTAGGAAAACTACCTGTCAGCTTGCTAAGATTATGAAATTGCCACCGGAAAGATATGGTTTGGTAACCAATGTATCGTTTATAACGTCTAGGAATGCTTTTAGCTGAAATGATTTCAACGAGTTAGATATTGTCCAACCTTCCTGTCTCAGCGCCTCTCCGGCGTAAGAGTCTACCCTTATAACTCGTGTAAACGAACATCTTTTAAAATACCAGTTCTCTAGTTTTCATTGAAAGAATCACTTTAGTCGGAAACTTTCGCTACAGCTTTTACAGTTGCTAGATTAAATTTTTGTATTGTTTTACCCTATCGTGAGCGACCACTTGACAAATATAAGCAAAAATTAGAATATCTTGCTGTCAGCTGATTATCACGTTATCAACGTTATTCTATGGGAAAGTTAAAAATAGGAGGCCACCGGACAGTTGTGTGTTGGTATTCAATATAATGTTTCCAACGTCTAGGAATGCTTTTTGCAGGTACACTTCCTCCATTTGCAAAAGAGAGCTTCCGCACGCAACGGCAATAAATTATGCAGGGCTCAGTGAAAGGGTTTAAATCCGCGCAACGATAGTCACTGACTCAGTCAATACTTGAGAAAAGTATTCTGTTCTGGGTGAGCTCTCAGATCAATCATCATCACAAGTTCTAAGAAAACGGTATGTATCAATGCAGCGAGTTGATTTGTTCATCAAGTAGACCTTCTCTACAAAGATTTTCAAGGGCTAAAAAATCGTAAAATACAACACTGTCAGTGAAGAAAGCTTTACTCAGTTACGTTGTAGACTTCAATTCTTTAACCGGGCCTTTTCCGTTATCTTGGCGATGTTTGTAAGAAAGTTTTATCGGCTTGTTAAAGAAAATTATGAATTATCTGCTCCTTCAACAAAGATTACTTTATTACAATGCTTTGATCAGGCCAGCGATTAATTATGCAAGTGTCCTTTGGACTAATTGTGATAAGGAAAACCTTGGGCGGGTCCTGAAGCTCCAAAAACAAGCAGCTAGAGTAATCCTAAACTAATTTCGTGGACTGATTTGTAGCCTGTAAGCTCTGGACGTATTTCCGGTCGTCGCTTCTCTTCTGACAGGAAATACGTCTGCGATCGAAGGCTGACTGACTTATTTGCGGTCGTCAAGGCCCTTTTCGTGCAGAAAAAACTTGATGGCGATTTGCTCAAAATAGTCATTCTTTGTTCAAGCAAACAAAGCTGATTCTGGTTGTTAGTTGCAGTCCTCGGATTTCCTTCTTTTAAAGTCTACTAGCGACTCTTTCCAGTCTGTTCTAAGAATATGAAATGGGTGTAATAAATATACTTCATGTTACGATGCTATGACTTTGCCTTGCTCAGCATATCATCATTAAATTGTGCTATTTTTTGCTCTCCCTGGATTGAAATCTACGAAGCTGCTTGCTGCTGCAGCTACTTGTAAGATTCTCCTACTGACGAAGTATTAAAGTGATTCTCACTTATTGCTAACTTTTTAGGTCCTTGGAGTCAATTAGCAAAAACTCAGTAACGTCAGCGGACTGATTTGCAGCCAGTAAACGCAAAGGTATTTCCATTCGTTGCTTCTCTCCTGACCGGAAAATTTATACGTCTTAGCAGGCTGACCAACAGGGTAATTTTTGGTCATCAATGTCCTTTCTGTACAGAATAACCATGACCACGATTTCCTCAAAATAGTCACTCTTTGTTCAAGCACATGCACAAAGCTGATTCCTTTTGTTAGTTGCAGTACCCCCATTTCCCGGCTTTTCTTTTAAGTCTACAGGCGACTCTTTCCAGTATTTTCTGTTACGAACGTGAAAGGTGTTTAATATATTTTCATTTTACGAAGTTATGCGGACTTCTTCATGCTATACATAATTATTAAATTGTGCTATAAAATGAGCCACTCTTCCTTGATTGAAGTCTACGAAGCTGCTTGCTGCAACTACAGTTGTCAGATTCTCTTACTAACAATTAAAGTATTTAGGTTCTCGAAGTCAATTAGCAGAAAGTAATTATGTGGGCTAATTTCTAGCCTAGAAACTACGATCGAAGGCTTTGGAGTCATCAATGTCCTTTCCGTTCAGAATAACCATGACCGCAATTTTCTCAACATAGTCACTCTTTTTTCAGGCAAACAAAGCTTCTGATTGTGAGTTACAATCACCACTACCTTTTCCTTTAAGTCTACCGATTCCTTCCAGTTTGTTCTAAGAACGTGAAGTGTCTTGGTTTTTACGAAGTTATGACTTCCCGGACGTACCCTAAAAATGTGCTATATTAATGAGCAACTCATCTCCTCATTGATTGTAGTCTACGAGCGGCAGCCGCTTCCTGCAGCTATACCGAGAAGCCGCTTTAGCTACGAAGGTACTCCTTTGTTAAAAAATAGTTTTCGCAATTACTAGATCTAGATTTTAATCTAATTTTGTAGACCGAAACGTCCACTAACAAATGTAAGGGGTCCACTCTCTATTCTACTGCGTGGATTTTGTTAAAGTTTGCTGACTAAAAATATGTTCAATTTCATGACCATACTGACTTGTTTGCCCTTTTAAAAAGTCAAAAGAAATACTCAAGTTCCTACATGCATACTCAGTGCACAGCTTAGCGATTACCGAATCTCTTTAAGCTTCTTTATAGGCGTTATCAATAACAAGCGAATAGCGATGAACTGCGTGAAATTTCTTGTAAAAGTATTTTAGGATAACCTTTCCATTAATTTCCTAATATTCTGAAGTGCTTTTTATGGGGCATCCTAAAAGAATTAGTTTTAAACTGTGTTTATTGCCTCTTGATATGTGGCAGTCCATTGCCTCTCCTCTGTCCTTTTTACCCCACCCTAAAAGGGCTCCCTAAGACAATACTCGTCACATTTGTTTAAACACTATGATCACGTCCCCACCTTTTCAATGTTGATTCACGTATTACCCATATGCAAATGCAGACGAATCTCAATACTGGAGAACTGCGGAGAGACACAAACGGAAATGTTAAAAAAGTCGGCCGAAAGGGCTTGACATGAACAATCATCAGTTTCAGTCTCGTGTTTTAACGAAATTTGACGACATAACTGTAGCCCTTTTATGACTGATTACGTTACCTTGGGCCTTTGCTTCGATCTTTCCTAAAGATGTTTGTTGCGTGCATGATTTAAATGACGGAAGTCTGCTGCCAGGACCAAACCACTAAAAAAATATTTAATTGTACTAGAAATACGTATCTCGCAAACCCTGGCGAAACTTGGTGTTGCAGACAAGTAAAGCGGAGCTAACGGTCGCTGTTAGAAAGTGGCCGTGAGTGAACAGCCGCCGATTATGCAGAGGACTCCTACTTTTTCTGTCTTGTCTAATTTGTCTTCTTTCTTTTTGTTTCATTGTCCTATTTGATTCTTAAATGCATATTTCGAAATTCATGTTTCGTATTACTTCAGCCGCCGGATTGAAAAAATAAATGCAAGTTTCGCACTCGGATTCAACGGCCGATCGATGTACCGGGCTGTAACCAGCTGTAACCTGCAATAGGTCTTTGATCCATCGGCGTGGAATAGTCCTGTGGTGAGGACTCCTACTTTTTCTCTCTTGTCCTCTTCTTGTTTTTTTTTGTTTTTGTTTTTTTTTTTCATTGTCCTATTTGATGCAAAATGCTTATTTCAAAGCAGTATGAATCAATAGCTCACTGACCGCTTCATTAATTCTCTAATTCATTTTCACAGGATCAATATCCAAGAGCAGTGGAAATCATGAAGCTTGTGGTTATCATTGTCGCCGCGTCGGTTTGTGTCAACTTGCATGACTGCGAAGCAGAAGATAAATCAAGAAGACAAGTAAGATCAACTGCCCTTTTTCGTTTCCAAGTAACTACATCGCTTATTTTTGAAAAGAGTGCAAAATATAAAAATTGCTTAATGGCACTTTTCAAAGTTTAACGGCAACCTTTTGGAACTCGGTTGTTAAGAACTGAGAGACATATGAGAGAAAGATAACAATCCCAGTAGAGCTAATATGATATAGTTTTCCAATTCCTCTTGGCTATCGGCAATAATCGTCTTATCCTTAACAGCCAATTTGCACCTCTCCTCTACGTTAGTAAAGTTGAAATGAATACCCATGTACTAATGGTGTAAATACGAAGAATGTTGTTCGCAAACGAGGCTTGGAAGTGAAATTTGCTTTTCTGACGTAATCACGCATCCAAAAGAAAAAATAAATTAATAATTATCAGAATTCCAAAAAAATAGCAAATTTTTTGGGGGAATATAATTGGTTGATAAAATTAACTAAACAATTCTAATCAATTACTGACAACGATTCAAACTGACAGAAGGGGACTCGGCAGGTTCTTCACCAGTCATTTGAGTCAGATATCAAAATATGACTTCCTTACTTGAACTGATCGTGAAATAAACGTTTTCTGCCTATGCTAATTACTAGACTCTTCACAGTCCCCTATTTTTCCGTAAGATGGTAGAGATCGAGTGCTTTGCGTTACGGGCTACCATCTTGCATGAGTTTCAAAACTACTTTGGGGGTGGGGGCGGTTTGGGAGGAAGCCAGAAAAATAGAGGGACTGTAATAACATCACTGCAGCTCGCGTTCAGGAGGCGTGACAGGAATTTCACGCCTTTTACCATTCATTAATTAAGAAACTCCACTAGCGATGAAAAACATGCCAGACACATTTAGCATCGATTTCGCTTGTTTACAAATGTCTCCTTTCGAAACAGTGATTTTATACAGTTTCTAGGCCATTCCTCCAAATAAAATCGCAAACATGCACAGTTGAAACATTTTCCTAATCGAAGCGCTAAGCATGCTCGCTTCACCACAGATTAGAACGGTTAAACCTCCCGATAAAAAGCGAGGCATTTCTAACAGGTCGTCTTTCTTTGCATTGGCGTACCGTTAAATTTCAATTCTTTTGACAAAAACTGTTACAACATTCCCCTGGCCGGGCTGCTTCAAAAGCATGTTAGCTTACGTGATTCATCCGCAAAATATCAAAATCCTTCTTGTGTTTGCGCAAGATGTATTATGAAAGCGTACGTTTTAAAGAAACGACGACTTGTCAGTGTCGGCAACTTGAACTAAACCTGTTGTCAACGCAAATTAACATCTACTGTCTAATGACCAATTAAACGCCTGCGTTACTGGTACAACGCGCTCCGTGAACGCGAGCTGCAGTGGTGTTATTATAGTCCCTCTATTTTTCTCGCTCCCTCCCCCTAGAGCTATAATCTCCAACGCCCGCCCCCTTGGTACATTTGAAAATGAAGATGACCGCCATTACTGGTAAGACGCGCTATATGTCGACAATCTCACATAAAAATGGGGGACTGTGAACAGTCTAGCTAATTACAGTTACTTATAATATATATATATATATATACAGTACCACAAGTGAAGAGTAAAACAATATGTTTTTCGTCTCTCACCTATATTTCGGCCGTGTTAAACGGAGAGACGAAAAACATATTGTTTTACTCTTCACTTGTGGTGCTGTATTTATTGAGTTGTGAAGGGAGTGTCTTCTAAAAGATGCTTGTGATATATATATATATATATATATATACATATATCTGTCTGGATTAGCAAAAACATATAGAAATCTCTCTCATATACCTTCTGACTGAGACTTGCGGTAATGCATGTTTTTTTTTTTTTTGGTTACTTCCTATTTATATGATTTGTACCGAATATTTACTGAATATGCTGCATTAGATAGACTTTGATGAGTTTCTCACTGGCTATTAACCTACCCCTCCCCCTCCCGCCCCCTCTGCCAAAAAGAATATTTACTGAATATTTGAAATCTGCATTAGATAATCCCGGCTTTGGGTTGTCTTAGAGTTTTTGGCTGCCTTGAGCAAAGTTTTCCGGAAGGTATCATTATTATGAAGGAACAATTCTCACCTCTGATTGATATTGCGAGCTTTGTTGTTGGCAGTAACAAGTCTTTTGCCTCACAAAGTAGGTTCTAGGGATGAAATCTATTCGGCGAGATGGAAATTGACGCTGATTCCTAACCAGGCCAAAGACTTCGTAAAAACTTGTTTGGAAGGCGGGGGCTGTATGTCCCCTTTTCAACTGCTGGTGTACATCCGGGATCTTGAATAAATCTGTAATAATCTTTACTAACAACTAGGATGGTTGAGGATTTATCTCTAGTACGGAACTAAACAACATGGCCGAAGCTCACACACAAATGATTATGTACGCATGCGTATGGAAATACCGCTGATCATTACAACTTTTCCCTAAAAAAAACAAAAAACAAAAATACAAACAACAGAGAAGAAAACAATCAAGCATCCAGCAAGTGCTACGTGTGAAAACCAAAAACAGTTAATGTTCACAAATGCTAAACATTGTCCTTGAATCATAATGGTCTCCGCGAAAAGAGATCAGATGTTCAATGTCCACAAATGTTAAACATAGTCCTTAAATCGTAATGGCCTCCGTATGGCCCTTCCACTCCCAGTCTTCTATTGTTCTGACGTCTCCAAAGAGCCATCGCCTGAATGATTTCTCTCTTGCTCTTGGGACGCTGAGACAGGTTCCTCCACAACTGGGTTTCCTTGACTGTATTGTTCGCTGCAAGGTAAGTTTCCATTCATGCTTCCTGATGAAGGTTCATGAAAATGTCAGTCATTTGTCGATGCAGGACCACAGCCTGCAGTTTCATCAACATCTTTCTATTTCTGCGGTATTCTCCACCATTATCTGTTTGCACTTTGTAAGACCTAGGTTTTTCTGCATGGTCCACTACTACCCGTGGTTCCCAGCGATTTCCCATGCGTACCCTGATCTGTTTGCCTTTTTCTAAAGCTGGTAGCTGTCTGGTGTGCTGATTAAAATAGTATTTTTGCTTCTCTTGCTTCAGCCTTAACTTCTCCTTTACTTTGTTTGGATCCAGGACTCTGGGTTGCAGTTGCGCTTCAGTTGTGGGGATAATTGATCTCAGTCGTCTACTCACGAGAAGTTGCGCTGGTGAGCCGACCTCATCAATAGGAGTGTTCCTGTATTCTAATAATCCTAGATATGGATCACGGTTGTCGTGCTTTGCTTTTATTAGCAGATTCTTTACCGTTTGAACTGATTTTTCAACAAGCCCCTTCGCTTGTGGGTAGAGTGGACTGGTGGTGGTGTGTTTGAATTCCCATTGTTTCGTGAATGACTCAAATTCCTTGGAAGAGTACTGTGGACCATTGTCACTGATTACCTCACATGGTATTCCATGACGCGCAAAAGCAGATTTGATGTGGGTGATGACCGTGTTACTTTTGGTGTCTGGCAGTTTGGCTACTTCAAAAAATCGCGAGTGGTAATGTACAATGAAGAGGTATTCTGATTTATTCCAGGTGAACAGGTCTGTTGCTACCTTTTCCCAAGGCCTCCCAACGAGGGTTAATTAAAATACTGTTGCCAACAACCGACGTTTACAGTGCGACCGGGAAAACCGTGACCGCTTGAAATATCTCGGGAATGTTCATGGTGTTATAACCAATCACAGCAAAGATCAGGACACGCGAACGGCCCACAAAACCACAAACTAATTAACGTTCTTGCTTACGGTTTAGTTTTCTCACGCCTGATTGGCTTACTTCTTGCGACAGAAAAACGTTCCAGAAATATTTCTGGTGTTTACGGTTTTCCAACTTCATGATTTCAACTCTGTCACGCAATTCTGTTAATCATTGTCCGCGATCTCTTTTTACAACACGTCACTTATAGTTTTTCTTTGTTTTACTCTATTACAGGTTTCATACAATAATTGCAAGCCATCTGCTCATATCGAAGCTTCAGACTTGCGAAAAGTGACTTATAACGCCAATCAAAGTACTTTTATATTTTCTTGATTTTATAGCTACCCTAGAGCAAGCGGTGTGCGTCCGAGACTCGACCAATCAGAATGCGTCCTTTGTAGAGTGATTTTCGCTCTTGGAAAGAGGTAGTTTCGAAAACGAAGCACTCGTTCGTTTTCGAGATTTGGGTTCTTCGTGCTTCAGTCTTCGCTTTCGAGTGCTTCGTTTTCGAAACTACCCTTGGAAAGAGCCGTTTTCAGAGGTACATGTGGTGTAATTTTCGCTTTATTCCATTGCAAGCTTGTGTAGGTAATTTCGACACTATACCGCCGTGGAAAGTTCTTGGAACACTTTATCTTGATAGCAGTTGCATTAGTTTTAAATACGCTTTCTTGGGCGTTTGTGACAAGTTTGAATTGCTCGGTCATGTGCAAGCCGCCATGATGATTTGAGTGTTATTTTCTCCGTTCTTCTCATGGATTCATTGCTGGTTACTGTTAGCGGTTTTATCGGATTATTTCGGGTCAACTTGTTACTTCAGCCTTTCTTCTTTGTACATTTTGGGGTCAACCCGGGTCTACAACCATTAGTTTCCTCGTTACGAGGCTTTAAAAGTGTCTTGGAATGAAGAAATTGTCTCAGCCAAGTAGAACTCCCGGGAAACGGGTTGAGAAACTTGCCGAAGCGAAAGCCGACGTGAAGCGAGTAACGCAAAATCCAGGAAGAGTTTGTTTCATTTTAATCCAGAAAAGGTAAATAAGTTTGAAAATTGTGATAACCTTTGGAAACAAAACATTTTTCATAACCCAGTGCGGAAACTGAAAGCGTGTCTTTGAAATAATTTGCATGCAGTGTGTGCTATGTGTATGCAAATCCTCACGTACATTTAAGCGAGGGAATATATCTCAACCAAAACACAAAACCGTTTATCGAAGATCTAGACAACATCATACAGGATTTTAAAACTGTAAGGTTAGGTTTATGACAAAATCGATACACTGCGCTCACTTCAATGATCGTACAGACAAGATTGCAGTTTAATTATTTCTGCGGCCGTAGCTTCGGTGAAATTCCTCTTGTGCTGTAGCTGTTCGGGCGCTACTAATGGTCTGTTTTAGCCTTGCCCATAGAACATTTGTTTGCTTATAAAGATTTAAAACTGTCACTGTTTGAAAAATGATATAAAATTGTCGATGAAAGTTAAATTGTTATGAGAGACGATGCAAGATTACTCACCTTGCTCTTTCTTCGCGCTCCCCCTCCTTGCCCGGTTAATAAAGTCCATCAGACCTAAATATATAGATTTAGCCAGGGCTAAAAGCGAAGCTCCCATTAATAAATTTATAATTTAAATCAAACAATAATCCACAAATCAGTTAACTTAAGGGCACATTCATGTGACTTTTGAGGGAAAGGCTAAGTGACCTAAGTTATTTTAGAGTGAAACATCCTACATCGAGTTGATAGCCTTATATACATGTACACCCAAAAAATAGCAAACATCTTCGATCACATTCAAGAGCCATAATGGCTCTTGATCACACTAGATAAGGCCTCAAAACCAAATTTTTGGAAAACAAATCAGGCCGAATTTTTTTGCTTTCGACAGGTTTACTTTACAAATTCTTGCCAACAAATCTGGGGGTGTGTAAACCATCTAATCTGAGGTGAAACAGTACGTACTATTTGTCATACAGACGTCGGACAGAATGCGGCATTTCACAATTTTTCAAGGCAAATTGCACTCAGTCAATGTTCGGGAGGATCAATCGTTATGAATCGTTGGCTTTTAGCGAAACCGTTTCAAAATCTCAAAATTTCAAAATCACCCATACGACCAGCCGGTTCTCATTTCTAGTGCGAGCTGTCAGTGTGGTCGAGTGTTTGAATGACTTTAATAGAGTTACGCTTCAACATAGTAACGAATTTATTATTATTATTTTTTGTTATTTAATGGTTTCAGTTATAACAATGTGTAATCTTATAAAGCGTTTGATACGCGCGACATTTTTAAAGGGACTGGTTCACGATAATGCGCATGTGTGAGTTCTGACAGTAGCTGATTGTTTTTCAACCAATCGGAAGCGAGTTAGATGCATGCAAGTAAATTTACAAAATTCAAATTAATTGTTCGCGACGCGAGAGTATTTCCGGGAATTTGGTTTGATTTTATTTATCCCCATAATTCAAGTTTATTCTTTGCTACTCCTCAGATATATGTTGCAGCCGATAAGAATAAGATTTACAGCCCTGTCCTGCTTTGAAACAAACATTTACCAACGTGTATTTTTACGAGGTCGTACCCACGCTAACAAAGCAGTCACCGATCGGCAAACAAAATTTGTAAGCAAACATCTTATTACTGTTCTCTCAGTTCGCCTTATATAAATCCAGAAATACCTACAAATAGCACCTGACCGGTGACAAAAACGCACAACGTATGAGTATAAAGATTATCCTTAACTGAGCATAAATTTCAAATGCTTATCAGCAAATGAACAAATTCATTCGCGTCGCATCGGGTCAGTGTTCCGCTAAACAAATGTTATCGAGTAGCACACATAAAGAAACTAGATTATAAACAGAATATTCAGGCAATAATTTATTTTAAAAACATCAATTCTTAAACATATACGATCGTAAAGCAAAGATACAAGGAACATTTCAAGTGTACGAGATCGGTGAAGATCGCGCGGCCTGTTGCGGTATAACTACAGGTCGGAGTCAAAAATCAAATCAAAGTTGAACGAACTCATGCCTTTAACCACTTTCCAAGTGTCGTGTATACTTTTCGTAAGCCACACACTACTCCTAGAACCATACCAGATCGATAGGCTAAGCTTCTCTATCTCCAAAGACTCTTGAGAACGTCCTGTTGCCGGACGGCCACGATGCTTTTCTGAACCTCCATGATCAAAACATTATTTTTTGTGTCTTCTTAAAACGTAACCAGTCAAACGACACAACCACACCTTAATCACCACTACCGAAGTATAACTAGACCAGCCAAAGCGACGGGTGTCCGAATAAAACGAAGGATTTTCAATGATTGTACCGGTAATGGCGATTTTATTCTGAAGAGACAAACGGCGCGCATGCGCATTGTCGTGAACCAGGCCCTTTAAGTACTCCTGCAAGCGATGTTCATAAACGATGAAAACAAACGCCACGGACGAGCGATTAAAATTGCAAGAGAGACTACTAACAATCAATAAAAGAAATATAATTCGGTGAAACATTTACAGAGACAACAACTTTCATTCACGAAGACAAGTATTAAAGTGTCTCTAAAAATCCTGAGTCTTTACACTTAAAAGTTAATTAAGTTTTACTTTCAGCTGGCCTCCCGTTGTTTGCTTTTTTCAAAGATGAACTCCTCGAAGCAAGAAAATCGCTCAAAGTTTTCTTTCCACACCCAAATTTATGGCTAAATATTCTTCGTAACGTTTTCTTTCTATCTGCTGTGAGAAAATATATCTGAAGGTCTTTTTAGGCTCTGTAAGCTTATATCAAACCTGATACTAGTTCTGATCATTGACTCAAATCTTACAAACGTGCATAAACTTGCCGCATAAACTGTGCTCGACTTCATGAAATTAGATATAACAAAAACAAACATCAATAATTACTCAGGCTTACCATTCGAGATTCAGTTCCTGAAAGATGAGGAAGACCACAGTTGCTTGAGACTTTTAAACCCTCGTACGCATAAGCAAGGTGAAAAACGAAAACGATGCCATCCGAAATCGGATTACCGAATTTTGACAAGCGACGCATTTCTCAACCAAACACCCAATAAACAAACCAGCCATGAATAACAGAAGACTCTTGAAAGCAGCTGTATTTCATTTTGTACATCCAGTGGAAAAAGACAGTTAAATACATCACAAGTTGACACAAAGCTCTGTCAGCTTCAGCTCTCAAAGTAAACAACTTTCAAGATGATGCATACATTTTCCGCATGAACTCACCTGTCAATTTTTGACCAATCAGAGTATAAAAATTGGACGTAGAGCGTGACCAACGCGTGACCGTGGTAAGAAAAGGTCTTCCCCGCAACTTCCCCGCCTGTATTTTTAAAAACTGGCTGAATTTTCGCGTCCGAGGTCAGTTTGAAATCAAAATCTTAACAGTGCGGGGCCATAGTGACGTAAACACAACATATTTCATATGAATCATTTGAAAAAATAAACTTGAGCCTGCGATCATTTGAAACTGGTAATTTGTCAGCAGATAACTTCAAAAATACTCGACCTCGATGGGTCGACACTTAAGCCCGCGGTACGGTCAGGTGATACTGGTCAGCGGATACCCTGTTTTGACAGCTGTCAATTGATCACATCATTGATGTGCAATTAGTTTTCTCTTGGGCTCCCAAACTAGCTACAAAGTGTGAGAGTAAACATTGGTTTCCCTGTGGTGCGGACGGACGGTCGGGCGTACGGTCACGTGTTTACCAAATTTTATCGAATGGGTAGATTACCACATTTCCTTAGCTATGGGGCTCCGCTCACGCACGCGCTTCGCGCGCGGGTGGAGCTCCGCTACTATTAAATGGACGAGTTTTTTATTTAAGCAAATCCAGGAATGAGCTACAGATCTCTTTCACTCTTCTGAGATAGAAATATACATATAAGCACAGCACTAAACAGTACCTAAAATCTTCTGAGAAGCAGGAAATCGCCGCCTAAAATCTGGTAAAACCGCACCTTCGTTGGTCTGCGAATCGCGATAAACTTATTGAAATTACCTTATGAAGCCAATAGCAAGCATCTAAGGCCAGTATGAGATCTTGAAAATTCTCCAAATCGCTCTCCTCCATAATGTTTTTCAGAAAAGGAAGCAGTGTTTTGATCCCGGGTTTTGATTCATCTCTCTCGCGAGACGTGAAGTTGACCGTGTCACGATTGAAATGAGGCACATAAACAGTTTTACCCATGAACCATTGTGGGTCGTGACGCACACCGCCTGACCCTAGTGGGCCTCCCAGGGGGAGTCCTTGTTCCCCTGTTCCCTTCAAACATTTGCTTTAGTTTGTTCCCTTGTTACCACCTATATTCAGAACTTGTTACCTGCTTTTCTAGTGTACGCACCCTACACTGCCCCCCTCCCCCAACATCCCCTTCTCCTTTCGCGTGCTGCTCTCGCGCGACTTCTCGAGACTCCCCGAAATGGAGAGCTTGCTCGCAGGCTAAGCCTCACCCTTCGCTTAAACCCACCCCTGTACGCTCAATGTTTCATCATCAGCTGCATCTTTAGAGTCTCCGCCGATTTGAAAATTCCAGAAAAATATTGACTGAGAGTTGTTTAGGTTTCTCTTGTAAAACGCAATAGACAAATGACGCAGTAAAAGCAAATTGCTAAAAAAGAAAAGGCACATCATAGGAACAAACCTGACTGGCTGTGACCAATTTTTCCATTTCCTTAGCTTAATCATGTTATTTCGAAATTGGCAGATTAATTTTCCTGGTTGACAAGATAAACAGAAACCTCGATAGCCAGGGCTAGATAAACATCACCCACAGATTAAAACAGGGCAGTGTGACGAAAGACGATGGTGGAAATAACCTAGACTGAGAAAGTAAGATCACTCTTGTTTATCCTTTAGTGATTAAAGACTGGTCTGTCAGTGCTCCGAACAGCTATCTTGCAGGCGGTATGAGCTACGCAGATGGGAAACTGACTGTGCCTATCACTGGACTGTACTATATCTATCTGCATGCCTACCAAAACAGCCATGGAAGAGTCTTGGTTAATGTGAATGACGCTCCCGTGGCCATGGTTAATGCCCCTTCTCCGCCGGCCATTGAACAGTTTGCCTCGCAGGTGGGCGGTCTTTTCAACTTACAAGAAAATGACGAAATCTCGTTTACTTCGAATTATGACGGCTGCGTGCTTTACATGTATACCGGGCATACCTTCTTTGGCGCCTATTTGGTTGAACTGGGAATTTGATGAATATTGCATGGCAACTGCAGCATAACCTCACAAATTAAGGGAATAAAATATCATTTTTGAAGCTGACTGAAACGACATGTTCTAGAGGAACTTTTGTTCAAAAACGTTTCTAAATAATGGGCTTTTGTCGCAGTAGTAGATGCGCTAAAACCGAAAAAAAATAAAAACAGGTCATTACGGCTCGGTTTTTACTTTAGTAGCATACGCTGTTTTGCAGGAGATCTGTAATGGGTATTTTAAGGCTGAAACAAATAAAAGGATGGTACTAAAGCTGTGTGGATCAGTTAGTAAAACTAAAACAGAAAATTATTAGAGGGTGTTAAGGGAACGCTTCGATTTTTTTTTTCAATGAAATAAATCTAGTGGAATGGTTTCATGAAATCCTCCTAGAAAAACAACGAGGGAAGGGGGGGCGGAGAGAAGGGGGAAAGATGGATAAGATTGGTTAACACAAAGAAAGAAGCACACACTTCCCCTTACCTCCCTAATTAGTAAATAGCCCGCAGTGTATTTTACCGCGGGCGAGCTCCAGAAAGCTTGGTTTTCATTTGTCGGGAATACCAAAGACGAAAGGGTACTTTACAGTTTCCCGACCGTCTCAGATTTTGTCGACAATGAAAGCTCAAAATCGTAGATATCCCTGATCGTCTGTGATGGTCGGGGTCAAATCAGGAAAATCGGGAGCGTTTCTATTTTCCCGGCGCGTCCCAGAATTACTGCGCTGGTTGGCGATCAGATATAAAAACTCAAATTTGTACTGATTCTGAACGTCGGGGGAGTCGATGGGCGATCGTTTTTGCTCGGTCCCAATTAGCTCCTTTTCCGCAATGGCGTCTTGGACAGACTCTGGGATTTTCCTGACAAATCTATGAAGTATTCTATAAATATGAGAACCATCATAATGAATGCCCGGAAAAAAAAGTCGACGAGGAGGAAATATATCTTAGTACAATACACTTCATTGATTAGCCAAATCAAATAATAACAAAATTAAATATGACTACATGCCATTGTAAACAAACTGGCAAGGGAGTTCAATTAAGTGGAATAAATCAAGCGGAGTAGACACAGACTGGATTTCAAAAGGTGCCCTAGGGCCTCTATTGATAGCTCTGAGTTTTTACCTTGTACAAAAACTGAAAGAGCTACCCTATTGAAATAAAGGTTTTCTATCTATCTAAAGAAAACACAGTAAAACGCCGCGAAGAAGAACCTAGGATTTAAGAACCTGCTGGCAGAAAATTGGTCATTTTAATACTCCAAAACATAAGAACCAGTTTAGCCAAGAAAAATCAACTGGTTCTTATATGTGGGGTTAGACTACATTTTCATAAACATTTTGACCAAAAGCCTGGCTTTAATACGGGAAATTTATATTACAGTACTGAAAATATAATGTAAAATGCAACAATAGAAAAAAAAATAACAAGAATAAAAATTTAAAAAAATGTTTGTTTTCTACAATAAAGGTGGCCTGTGCTTGTTTGTGTTCTTGGCCATTGCATAAGATGATTTAAAATGTAGTCTATGAATTCCTTGTTCTTTTGTATATTATACAAGTACATGCACATTCCGTTCCCTCAGGACACTAATTTTTGGTAAATAAATGCCTATAATGAAGGACAAATACCATTTATAGCAGAACACCTTAGAGTTGATAAATTTGTCAGTTTTATTCCAGTTAGTATTTATATTTGAACTCTAACAACTCTTCCACTACTTTTCCAGTTTGCAAAAAGGAATGAAAAAGTAATGCCCCCCCTGTATGTATTAAATTTTACATCCAACCCCCCTCTCTCTTGTTGTCATTTTCTCCCATGCCCCCCTCCTCTAATTTTCCAAACCCCCCCCACCCCCTCCAGGTAATTCCCACAGTCCCTTACTGTACTTCAGTAACTATAAAGACGTAATATTTTAGTTTAACTAATTGTATCCTGTAAAAGGCCTCATTCTCATTAGTTTTATAAAATAACAAAGGTAAAACGCACGCTCTGCTTGGTCAACTACCCTTTTACTATATTTGCCCATGGGTTAATGGTGACGAAAGCTACAACCAGTTGCAAAAATATTGAGACACTCTCACGGAAAACCGACCTTTCTTGCTTCAAATCGCTCCTGGTCACAACAGGTCTGTGAGATATAATACTGTCCTCCCTCTTCCCTTCAATTCAAAGTTGTTCCTCCAAGTAACTTTGATAAGGGGTGGAGGGGAGATCACAAGCACAAGATCATTAGCCTGTGAACAGGCTCTCTGTTTGGGGAAAAATCCCCGCTCGACCAAAGGCCAGTTCACAGGCTAAAGATCATGGACAGGCCATTTATGCCAAAATACGGTACAGTATCTCAAGTACTTTTGCAACTGGTTGTCTCATTTAAGGTTTACTTCAAAAAGTGATTTCCACGTCTGAAATTCCCAAAACGAAGACTATAGTGACATAAATAAATAGAATGGCACTTTCTGTTGCTTTTCCCAGCCCATACATCATTGTCATTGATAGCAAACTGCCTAAAAGAGCCCTTAAGAATGTAGTGACTTTGAAATTTTTCCTCAGTTTTGTTGTAACGCATGCGCCATTATCTACCGTGACATAGCTTAAAGTTTCGGCGTTTTCATTAAACTCTGAGATGTGCGAATGCATAATCACAGCGTAATTTTCCTTTTCTTGGTATTTAGAGATATTGTAGTTGCGTATAAAGCTGCCAAACCTTCATTTTCACCCTTGTATCTGTAACGCAATGACATTTGATATGGAATGGCGTTATGTAATCGGTATACCGAGTGACTTATTTTTCAACATCGCTGTTAAAGTAAAACCGTTCAGTTTTTTTTTTTCGGCTACTACGGTGAAAATAAGATGGTTATTAAAGTCCGTTAGAGCTAGAGAGTAGAAAAAGTTGTGTGGTACGGTATATATTCGATTAACCGCCCTGGGCGCTTATTAAATTTTTGGACCTTGAGAGTGGGCGCTTATTCGAGGCCCGGGGGCGGTACTCCCATACATTACCTATACAGGTATGTGCCGCCCAACGGGGTCGTGATTTTGAAGCTCCTGATTTAGAAAGGGGTATCCATTTCAGAGGCGTTTTCTAGAACGGGGTATAATTTTTCGAACGCACGAAAGCTCCAGTTTGGTAAGCAGCCATTTGAAATTATTCAAGGACAGATTGCTTTTAAAAAACGGTTCAATGCGTTAACAAGCAAATTGTTGTACTCTTGTTGCACTCTAGAACGGAGTATAAAAAATTGGCCCATTTCTAGAACGGGTTATCAGTTTTAGCGCGAATACTAGAACGGGGTATAAAAAATTGGCCCCTTTCTAGAACGGGGTATCAATTTAAGGGGAAATTTTTTTTAGAACGGGGTGCCAATTTGGAGTCCTGGGCGGCACATACCCACCCAAAAAATAGCCAAGTGGCCCCCCGCCCCGAGATTCGAGGCGGGCGCTTATTCGAGGCTGGGCACATATTAAATTTTCACCATTTTCAGCAAGTGAAGTTTGTTTATTTTGCAACAAAACAGTAAATGCTAATAACAAAACGCGAAGAAGTAACAAAGGAAGGTTTCTGTAAAATACACTGAAGAAAACTCCGTCCTCGGAGTAGTCTCTTATTAGAATTTATTCACTCAAGTAGGTGGGGTGGGGGTCAGCGCTTATTTGAGTTTGATTGGGAAGAGGAGGGGCTGGGCGCTTATTCGAGGTGGGCGCTAATTCGAGGTTGGGCGCTCATTGGAATAAATACGGTATGTAAGTTTCTATTTTCTGACGGTCTACCATCAATCCACGGTCTACCACTCTGCAACAGTAAGAAATGTAATATATTATTATTGGGGACAGTGATTTCGTTTTCGTCTCGCCATTTTTAAACACGCAAACCTAGGAAAATGAAATACTGTTTTTTATAACCACCTCCTAAGGAGCTAAGAGTGTACCACGTTTTACCCCGTTTAATAATCGTGCACCACGGCTATAGGGGTATGAAGGACTCAGACAACCAGTTGCAAAAATGTTGAGACACTCCCACGGAAAACCTAACGGAAAACCGACCTTTCTTGCTTCAAATCGCTCCTGGTCGCAGGTCTGTGAGATATAATACTGACCTGCCTCCTCCCTCCCATTCAAAGTTGTTTCTCCAAGTTTTGAGCATAGTCTTGTATTGCTAGCAACTTTGATAAGGGTTGGAGGGGAGATCACAAGCACAAGATCATGGACAGGCCATTTATGCCAAAATACGGTACAGTGTCTCAAGTACTTTATTTGCAACTGGTTGTCGCGCACGCTCAAAGCCGTACGCGCCACTTTTAACGCGACTATATTTTTTTTTATTGCATGACTTTTCTATAAATACTGAAAGAAAGTTTACAAACACCGTTAAAGACAACGTAAAATTAAGACGAAGGACTAGTTATTCAGCCAAACAATTTTTTTCGAAAGAAAGGAATTTGCAAAGAATGACTTACTCGCCATAGAGTGAGCAGATTAGACTCACGTCATTCCCCTACAAAAAATTAAAAGAATTGCACTCTTTTGATTATGTTGTCAGAAAACAAATGGTAAACGACTCAGCGTGTACTATTGAGTTATAGTTGCACTTGAGAGGATTGCTAAGCACTTAAGAAGCTAGAGTCACACTCGGCTATCGCCTCGTCCGACTCTTACGCTTCTTTCGTGCTTAGCAACCTCCTGCGTGCAACTACGAAACATCAAATTGACTGGGACTCTGCGACATGTATAACGTATTCTACAGACTACTATCAACGTCTTACTTTAGAAAGCTGGTTTACTAACTTAGAACAAACGCCACTGAATCGTAGCCAACAGTTAGCAGCGCCGTACAAACGACTTATTGACGAGATCAAGGAAAACTAACTACGAGAGAACAACTGGAGAACTGACAATTTGACTAACAGTAGACGACTGTTTAACTGTGACAATAGACGGATCGAAACGCACCAATCACTGATTATGAGTCTTCGTAGCCAATAACATCACGGCTTA